TCCCATTTCCACCCCGGACGACTCGGATCCCGAGCTGATGGAGCTGGGTGGAGTTGCCGTCCGAGAGAGCGGAGGACGACAGCGACAGTGCCACTCTGGTGGCATGAAGGGACAGTACACCACACGTCGTCGTCAATGCTCTTTTGGGTCTGGAGGCGGCAGGCAGAGCACTCTTGCATCACCCCAGGTATCAAACACCTACACTCGTTCAGAGCCCTCTGCTGCACACTGTACCCTACCTATCTACTTTCCCGATCACATGGTAGCTAGTCGATTCAGGCACAGCTGGGAACTTTATGGACAGGGCATTCTCACGCCGTCAAGGCATTTCATTGGTTCCCCTATCCATTCCACTCCCCATCAGAGCACTTGAAAGTCGACCATTAGGGTCCAGGTTTGTTAAGGAAGTTACTGTACCAGTCACCATGATCACGCAGGAGACTCATTGTGAGCAGGTAACTTTTTTGATTATTGAGTCTCCTGCTTTCCCTGTGGTATTAGGTATCCCTTGGCTAGCACTCCACAACCCCACCTTCTCATAGCCACAGAGGGTTCTCACGGGTGGTCGCGAGAGTATCAGGGTAGGTGTCTAGGTGTTTCCGTTGGTGCAACCACGGTGGAAAGTCCAGACGGTACCTCCACCGTGCGCATTCCCCACGAATACCTCGATTTGGCGTACGCGTTTTCTAAGACGCAGGTGACAAAATTACCACCTCATCGGGCGGGGGATTGCGCGATAAACCTTTCGGGTTAGACACTGTACCTCCCAGGAGTCATGGGTACCCCCTGTTGCAGGCTGAAATGGAGGCTATGGAAACATACGTCACCGAGTCCCTGGGCCAGGGGTTTATACATCCCTCCACTTCACCCGCCTCCTCAAGTTTCTTCTTTGTGAAGAAGAAAGACAGTGGTCTGCACCCGTGCATTGATTATCGATCACTGAACAAGGAGACGATAAGATTTAGTTATCCTCTCCCCCTCATTCCTTCAGTGATTGAGTCAATGCATGGGGCGCGCTACTTCACCAAATTAGATCTCAGGAGTGCATACAACCTGGTGCGTGTTCGGGAGGGGGATGAGTGGAGGAAAGCATTCAGCACAACCATGGGGCATTATGAATACCTGGTGATGCCCTATGATTTGATGAATGCTCCATCCATCTTCCAGTCCTTTGTGAACGAGGTGATTCGGGACATGCTTGGTCGCAGTGTAGTGGTCTACATTGAAGACATCATGGTGTATTCCACCACTCGCGACGAGCATGTGTCCCTGGTTCACAAAGTACTGGCCAGACTGTTGGAAAATGACCTTTATGCCAAGGCAGAGAAGTGTATGATTTTCCAGCATTCCGTCTCCTTCCTCGGATACCACATTACCACCTCAGGTGTGGAGATGGAGGGAGAACGCATTTCAGCCGTGTGTAACTGGCCGACTCCAACCACGGTTAAGGAGGTGCAGCGCTTCCTTGGCTTCGTCAACTACTCTCTGAGGTTTATCCGGGGCTTTGGCAAGGTCGCAGCTCCCATTAATCCCTGTTGAAGGGTGGACCGTCCCGGCTCCGTTGGTCTGCTGAGGCTGACCTGGCCTTCAGTAAACTCTGGGTACTGTTCACCTCAGCCCCGGTACTGGCCCACCCCGATCCATCACTACCGTTTGTAGAGGAAGTGGATGTGTCCGAGGTAGGGATAGGCGCTGTCCTATCTCAACGCTCGGGCACGCCACCCAAGCTCCGCCCCTGTGCCTTCTTCTCTAAGAAGCTCAGCCCGGCGGAGCAGAACTACGACGTTGGTGATCGGGAGCTGTTGGCTGTTGTCCGAGCTTTGACCGTGTGGCGGCATTGGCTCGAAGGGGCGAAACACCCTTTCCTCGTCTGGACGGACCACCGTAACCTGGAGTACATCCGGGCAGCGAGGAGGCTGAATCCTCGCCAGGCCAGGTGGGCCCTATTCTTCACCCGGTTTGATTTTACACTGTCATACATTCCGGGTACGAAGAATGTGAAGGCAGACGCACTGTCCCGGCTGTATGACACAGAGGAGAGGCCCAGAGACAAAAAACCCATACTCCCGGCCTCCTGCATTGTGGCGCCAGTAGTATGGGCTAAAGAGCAGGCATTACGCACAGATCCATCTCCACCTCAGTGTTCAGCTGGGCTGCGGTATGTGCCTGCTCTTATCCGTGATTGTCTGATCTACTGGGCCCACACGTAACCCGGTATCGGTCGTACAGTGCGCTGACTGACCGGAAAGTACTGGTGGCCTACCTTGGCTAAGGACGTGAGGGTGTACGTCTCCTCCTGCTCGGTGTGCGCCCAGAGTAAGGCACCTAGGCACCTCCCAGCGGGTAAGTTACAACCTTTACCAGTTCCACAACGACCATGGTCTCACCTAAGTGTTGATTTCTTGACTGATCTTCCACTCTCCCAAGGTAACGCCACCATCCTGGTCGTTGTGGACCGCTTTTCCAAGTCCTGCCGCCTCCTTCCTCTGCCCGGTCTCCCCACGGCCCTGCAAACTGCGGACGCCCTGTTTACTCACGTCTTCCGGCACTACGGGGTACCAGAGGATATAGTGTCCGACCGAGGTCCCCAGTTCATGTCCAAGGTCTAGAAGGCGTTCATGGAATGTCTGGGGGTCTCGGTCAGCCTGACCTCTGGGTTCCACCCCGAGTCTAATGGGCAGGTGGAACGGGTAAATCAGGATGTGGGTAGGTTCCTGCGGTCCTACTGCCAGGACCGGCCAGGGGAGCGGTCGGTTTTCTTGCCATGGGCAAAATATGCCCAGAACACTCTCCACCACTCCTCTACTAACCTAACACCATTCCAATTTGTTTTAAGTTACCAACCGGTTCTGGCACCATGGCACCAGAGCCAGACCGAGGCTCCTGCGGTGGATGACTGGTTTCGGCGCACGGAGGAGACGTGGGACGCTGCCCACGTCCACCTCCAGCGCGCAATGCGTCGTCAGAAAGCCAACGCTGACCGCCACCGCAGTGAGGCCCCGGTCTTCGTACCGGGGGATCGGGTCTGCTCTCAACCCGGAATCTGCCCCTCCGCCTGCCCTGCCGGAAGCTGAGCCCGCGGTTTGTGGGGCCGTTCAAAGTCCTGAGGAGAATCAACAAGGTCACTTATAGGTTATTACTCCCCCCTGATTACCGTATTAACCCCTCGTTTCATGTGTCTCTCCTCAGGCCGGTTGTGGCTGGTCCGCTCCAGGAGTCTGAGGTGCGAGATACAAGGTACGAGTAGCTCCACCGAGCTACACTACTCTCACAAATAAACATTCACCCACAAGGACAACACCTCCTCTGGACATTGAGGGGGCCCCGGCATACTCTGTCCGTTCCATCCTAGATTCGAGGCGTCGGGTGGGGGGCCTTCAGTACCTCGTGGAGTGGGATGGGTACAGTCCGGAGGAACGGTGCTGGGTCCCGGTGAGGGATATCCTCGATCCCTCCCTGTTGCGGGATTTCCACTGTCGCCATCCGGCTCGCCCTGCTAAGTGTCCTCCTGGCCGTCCCCGAGGCCGGGGTCGGCACGCTGCTGGAGCTGCGCGTCAAGGGGGAGGTACTGTCACGACTTCCGCCGAGGCTGCCTCCCCTCCTTGTTCGGGCAGGCTTCGGCGTTTGTCGTCACCGGCTTACTAGCCATTGCCGCTCCATATATCATCATTCCATTTGTCTTGTCTTGTCAATTACACACACCTGGCTCTTATCCCCTCATTAGTCCGTGTACAAGTGTTCCCTCTGCCCCCTTGTCCTTGTGGGTGAATGTTTATTTGTGAGAGTAGTGTAGCTCGGTGGAGCTACTCGTACCTTGTATCGCGGGGGTAGATTTTCCCCCTGTGCCTGTATATTGTTGGAGCTACCTGTACCTTGTATTGCCAGGGTAGATCGTTTCCCCTGTGCCTGTTTTCTGTTGTCGCTATCCAGCGCAATTGTGTACGACGGAATAAACTCTGTATTCGGTGATATACCCTCCTGCGCCTGAGTCGTTCTATCACACTCATCACACCTATTAAGCAAAAAAAATTGTTGCGCTGGTAATATGGGTCATCTTTTGAACTGCTAGAAACAAGCAATTTTCTCTTTAGTAATGGTAGCAAAAAAATATAATGGTCATGAATCTGCACTGAGTGTATTCTCTATGGCACTCAGGGGCTGCGATACAGCCTACCATCACAATAATTATTATTTGGGTGATGTTTTTCTAGGTTGCACAGCAATTTAGAACAGACCGAAATGGCTTGTGTCAATTTGAGCTAGCTAACTAGCTAGCTAGCTAGCTAGCTTCCAAACGTTATCCAGCTAGCTAGCTAAGAAAACATTATACTAGCAATAAACATGCTACTTGGCTAGCAATAAAGATACTTAGAAACAAGTCATGGTACCTACCCAGCAGCTGCTGAAAATATTCTTAGAGTTCATAGCCGCTTAAAAAATACATTTTACTAAAGTAGTCTAAGCGTCGTGTCTCATCCAACAACATGATATTGCCGCTTGAAACTGATCATTTTGATAATTGATGGTATTATACTGTGCATTCTACAGTGTTTTACTGTTGAGATTACAGAAAAGTCTTATTCTGTGTATGTTTGGTGGAACGTTGATGGAATATTCTCCTTACCCTCAGAAAACTGGACACATGAATGTTCTTGAATGTTGCATATTCTGAGAACATCGTAGCCAGATTCTATATAAGTTCTGCTTGACATTAAGGGAATGTTCTCCTAACTTGAACACCAAAACATTCTAAAAAGGTTCTCAGAAGGTTTTTGCTAACATAAGTAGAATGTTCCCCTAACTAACGTAAAACTGGACACTCAAACATTAGGGGAACATTACGGGGAACATTACAAAAATGTTCTCTCTCCCTAGAATTGTTAGCTGGGTATATAGTGCACTACTTTTGACTAGAACCCTACAGTATGAGTCTCGGTCAAAAGTAATGTACTAAATAAGGTCCCATTTGGGACACAGTCGAGTAGTAAAGTTCCTACTGTATGGCCCAGGTGGAGGAGAGCCACAGGAAGATGGTCTGGAAGGACAACATGCGATTCATCGACCAACACAACCTGGAGGCAGCAGAGAGCAATTACACCTACACCCTGAGAATGAACCACATTGGAGACATGGTAAGGCCTGTAACTATGCTTATGTCCCAAATGGCACCCTATTCTATGTATTGCACTAGTAAATAGCATTACCAATGTATTGCACTACTTACTGTATTGCACTACTTTTGACCAGAGCCCAAAAGTAGGCTCTGGTCAATACGATCTGTTGTTTTTTGATGTGTTCGACTGGTCGTCATTGTAAATAAGAATTTGCTCCTGATTGGTGTACCTGTATAAAAAAGGTGAAATAAAAAAAACATTAAAAAACATAGGGAATATGGTGCTATTTGGGATGCATATCTACTTAGTTGATTACACTGTAAATACTACATTGATTACCATGTAAATACACAGATATTGTGCCTCAATTTATAGTTGGACTTACAGTGCCTATCATAAGTATTCACCCCCCTTGGATTTCTTCACTTTTTATTTTGTTACAAAGTGGGATTAAAATTGATTTAATTGTAATTTTTTGTCAACGATCTGCAAAAAATACTCTGTAATGTCGAAGTAGAAGAAAAAGTATATATTTTTCTATGCTTAATGACAAGTTAAACACTAATATACAGTGCATTCGGGAAGTATTCAGACCCCTTCACCTTTTCCACATTTTGTTACGTTACAGCCTTATTCTAAAATTGATTAAATTGTTTTTTCCCCTCATCAATCTACACAATACCCCATAATGACAAAGCAAAAACAGGTTTGTAGAATTTTTGGCAAATGTAAACAAAAATAAAAACGGAAATATCACTTTTACATAAGTATTCAGACCCTTTCCTCAGTACTTTGTTGAAGCGCCTTTGGCAGCGATTACAGCCTGGAGTCTTGTCGGGAAGCCATTCCTGCATTGTCTTGGCTGTGTACTTAGGGTCGTTGTCCTGTTGGAAGGTGAACCTTCGCCCCAGTCTGAGGTCCTGAGCACTCTGGAGTAGGTTTTCATCAAGGATTTCTCTGTACTTTGCTCCGTTCATCTTTGCATTGATGCTGACTAGTCTCCCAGTCCCTGCCGAGGATTTGTATTTATTTAATCCATGTTAGAATAAGGCTGTAACGTAACAAAATGTGGAAAAAGTCAAGGGGTCTGAATACTTTCCGAAGGTACTGTACCTTGATAGATAAGTATTCATCCCCCCTGAGTCAATACATTTTAGAGTCAACACCTTTGGCAGCTATTACATTAAGACTGTGAGTCTTCTTGGGTAAGTCTCTAAGGGCCCGATTCAGACTTTCAACTTTTCCTGCACACTCCTTTCCTACGCACTTCTCAGTAGTTGGCATTCAGACTTACCTTCTGCAGGTGCGTAACGGGCTTTGCAGGTTCCCTTATGAGCACTGAATAAATGTAATTAAGTCCTCCCACTTGCTGGTCATCATATTTTTTCTCCATCCCTTTAAATTTGGTGTACCTTTTAATTAGAATTTTCTCGACAGATTCAGTAGAATACATGGAGAGAACGGTTCAGAATATTGGGGATCAATTAAAGAAAGTTATGTAAATAGACGCATATTCGTCTCCTTTTCAGCACCATTTAGTAGATTAAAAAAATACTCTGATCTTGTATATTATTAAGGGTTAGGAAAGTATTTATGAATAATAAAAAAAGGTTTGGTGAGCCTTTACGCATGAAATATATTGGTGAATCAAAAATACAGTGGTTTGAGTAATTCAGATCCTTTACCCAGTACATTGTTGAAGCACCTTTGGCAGCGATTACAGCCTTGAGTCTTTTTGATATGACGCTACAAGCTTGGCACACCTGTATTCGGGGAATTTCTCCCATTCTTCTCTGCAGTTTAAAAAAAAATTAAGTAGATGTTGTTCCACTTGCTCGACTTTATTAATAGTTTCATCGCATGCAAAGGTGGTGGAATTATGAGGGAATTAAGTCAAGGTCAGAATATGGTGTATCTGCATGTATTTACATGGCTTTCTTTCATTGATCTCTAATATTCGGAACATTTCTCAGTGGTTGAATTACATTTATTCAGCGTGCGCAAGGGAACCACGCCTGCAAAGCCCATTACACACCTGCATAAGGTAAGTCTGAATATCAACTACTGAGGCGTGCGTAAGAAAGGCATACCTTTCCTATGTCTGAATTGGGCCTCAAGAGCGTTGCACACCTAGACTGCAATATTTACCCATTATTCTTTTCAAAATTCTTCAAGCTCTGTCAAGGTGTTGGGGATCATGGCTAGACAGCAATTTTCAAGTCTTGCCATAGATTTTCAAGCAGATTTAAGTCAAAACTGTAACTTGGCCACTCAGGAACATTCACTGTCTTCTTGGTAAGCAACTCCAGTGTAGATTTTGCCTTGTGTTGTAGGTTATTGTCCTGCTGAAAGGTAAAGTCCTCTCTCAGTGTCTTGTGTAAAGCAGACTGAAGCAGGTTTACCTCTAGGATTTTGCCTGTGCTTAGCTCCATCCCATTTAGTTTTATCCTGAAAAACTCCCCAGTCCTTGCTGATGTCAGGCATACCCATATCATGATGCAGCCACCACCAAAAAACTGTATTCCTTTGCTGTGCATGTTTTGGAATATTTTGTATTATTATTTTCACTCATTTAGGTCATTATTATGGGGTCACTACAATGTTGTTGATCCATCCTCCGTTTTCTCCCATCACAGCCATTGAACTCTGTAGCTGATTTAAAATCCCCAATGGCCTCATGGTGACATCCCTGAGCAGTTTCCTTCCTTCCTGTCCTGCAGCTCAGTTCAGAAGGACAACTGTATCTTTGATGTGTCTGGGTGGTTTAATACATCATCCACAGCATAATTATTAACTTGACCATGCTTAAAGAGATATTCAATGTCTGATTTGTTATTGTTACCCATCTACCAATCACTGCCCTTCTTTATAAGGCTTTTGAAAAGCTCTGTGGTCTTTGTAGTTGAATCTGTGCTTGAAATTCAGTACTTGACTGAGGGACCTTACAGATGTTGAATGTATGGGGGACAGCGGAAGGGGTAGTCATAAAACAATTTTGTCAATCTCTATTATTTCACACAGAGTAAGTCCATGTAACTTATTATTTGATTTGTTAAGCCAGATTTTACTCCTGAACTAATTTAGGCTTGCCTAATCAAAGGGGGTGAATACTTATGTAGAATTTTGTTTTCACTTTGAAATTATGGAGTATTTTGTATAGATCAATGACAAAAATGTAAATTACATCTATTTCAATCTCACTTTGTAACGCAACAAAATGTGAAAAAATCCAAAGGGAGTGAATACTTATGATATCCACTGTATTTGAGGTTATTCCATAACCTTGAAAAGATCTGTGAATGGATAATTTGATCTCCAATCCACTGCGCCAATCTCCCGAGTGGCGCAGTGGTCTAAGGCACTGCATCGCAGTGCTAGCTGTGCCACTAGAGATCCTGGTTCGAATCCAGGCTCTGTCGTAGCCGGCCGCGACCGGGAGACCCATGGGGCGGCGCACAATTGGCACAGCGTCGTCCAGGGTAGGGGAGGGAATGGCCGGCAGGGATGTAGCTCAGTTGGTAGAGCATGGCGTTTGCAACGCCAGGGTTGTGGGTTCGATTCCCACGGGGGGGCAGTATGAAAAAAATATATATATATATATAAAAAAAGAATAAAAATAAAATAAAAAAATAAAAATAAAAGAATGTATGCACTCACTAACTGTAAGTCGCTCTGGATAAGAGCGTCTGCTAAATGACTAAAATGTAAAAATGTAAATGTAATAATTATTATTTGATTGCTCTTTTATTAGACTGACAGCTAGTTTTTTTCTCTCACACGTCTAGACACACAAAGAGTACAATGCCATGCTGCCTGATGATGCTGAGGATCAGGACTGATTTGAGGAGATCCCCCTCTCTGAGTGGAACGGGACTGCCAAAGTCGTGTCATCATGGGTCTGGCATAATTACGGATATGTGACCTTAGAAGAACACAACACATATTTCCTTAATCTCACTCACTCACAATACTTTCTTTATATATCTTACATGTAAACAGACACTGATGATGTAGCTAGAGAAAAGTGCAGCAAGGTAACCTTCCAAAACTCCATCCCCCGTATTTGCTCTTGCTTTAAAGATGAGAGGGAATCGGACAATTGACACATGCCGTACAAAAAGCCCGCACCCCACTCTGCAGCCCCCCCTCCGCTTACATATTTGCTGCTGTTGGGTCTCTGGAGGGACAAGTCTACAGGAAGACCGGCAGGCTGTGCTCCCTCAGTGCGAAGAACCTGCTGGACTGTACCAGGACACTGGGTAACATGGGCTGCAAAGAGGGCCGTATTGCTCTCTGTTATGAGATGATCAGAAAGTATGAGATTATGTCAGAAACAGGATATCCTTACTCCCCCAAGGTAAAGTGTCAGAAAAGCTACACAATGGTGTTATGGTGTAGTAGTACATTATTATTTTTGCATGACTAATATTCATAGGAACTTCCTTTATTTCTTTTTTTTCTTTTTTTAAGGAATACGTGTCAAGGGATACCAGAGATTTCCTGTTGACAACGAAAGAGCACATGCGTGACAGTCTGTACAATGTGGGCCCAGTCACTGTGTACGTGAATTTAAGCTCTCGGACCTTCCAGGTTTACCACGCCGGTGAGCATTTTCTCCATTCCTCTCTCCTCACCTACTTCTCAAAACGCATTGGAGAAGAAGGTCTGAGGGGAGGGACCTTACGTTTAATATTGGTTTTACATTTCGTTGCATTGCAGAATTATAACACACTTAAGTGTATTAAAACAACCACAATCATTCATCTTAGGAGTCCTCTATATGCTCCAAAACTTATAATCATAATGTTTTGGCTGTTGGGTATGGCAGACGCAACATTGGCTACTGGATTGTGAAGAACAGGTCAGTCACCAAAATTGAATAAAACATTACATGCAAGTGATATACACATTTTGGCAGATTGTAAGAGTATGAAGTTTGTTGTCATGACATCAGTATCAAAGACAGGCATGGCATGTCTTTGATTTTCTCCCTATACACCAAGTCACTTGGCTCTGTCATATCCTCACATGGCCTTTCCTATCATTGCTACGCTGACGATACACAACTAATCTTCTCCTTTCCCCCTTCTGATAACCAGGTGGCGAATCGCATCTCTGCATGTCTGGCAGACATATCAGTATGGATGACGGATCACCACCTCAAGCTGAACCCTGGCAAGACGGAGCTGCTCTTCCTCCCGGGGAAGGACTGCCCGTTCCATGATCTCGCCATCACGGTAGACAACTCCGCTGTGTCCTCCTCCCAGAGTGCGAAGAGCCTAGGCGTGACCCTGGACAACACCCTGTCGTTCTCCGCCAACATCAAGGCGGTGACCCGCTCCTGCAGGTTCATGCTCTACAACATTCGGAGAGTGCGACCCTGCCTTACACAGGAAGCGGCGCAGGTCCTGGTCCAGGCACTTGTCATCTCCCGTCTGGACTACTGCAACTCGCTGTTGGCTGGGCTCCCTGCCTGTGCCATTAAACCCCTACAACTCATCCAGAATGCCGCAGCCCGTCTGGTGTTCAACCTTCCCAAGTTCTCTCACGTCACCCCCCTCCTCCGCACACTCCACTGGCTTCCAATTGAAGCTCGCATCCGCTACAAGACCATGGTGCTTGCCTTTGGAGCAGTGAGGGGAACGGCACCCCTGTACCTTCAGGCTCTGATCAGTCCCTACACCCAAACGAGGACATTGCGTTCATCCACCTCTGGCCTGCTGGCTCCCCTTCCTCTGCGGAAGCACAGCTCCCGCTCAGCCCAGTCAAAACTGTTCGCTGCTCTGGCACCCCAATGGTGGAACAAGCTCCCTCACGACGCCAGGACAGCGGAGTCACTCACCACCTTCCGGAGACATTTGAAACCCCACCTCTTTAAGGAATACCTGGGATAGGCTAAAGTATTCCTTCTAACCCCCCCCCCCCCCCCCCCCCCCCCCCCCCCCTCCCCCCAAATTGTAAAGTGGTTATCCCACTGGCTATAGGGTGAACGCACCAATTTGTGAGTCGCTCTGGCTAAGAGCGTCTGCTAAATGACGTTAATGTGCCCTTGAGCAAGGCACTTAACCCTAATTGCTCCTGTAAGTCGCTCTGGTTAAGAGCGTCTGCTAAATGACTAAAATGTAAATGTAAATGTAAATGAAACTTTATCTAAAATCTGTATATTTATTAAGACAACAATTCCATGAAGTAAATTCAGTGACAAACAAATATTATTCAGTTGATTAAAGGGTAATATAACTTCATTGTGTTGTAATTGAAAGTCTGTGTTGTCTTTACATTTTACAGCTGGGGTACCACTTGGGGAGATAAAGGATATCTCCTCATCGCTAGAGGATACAACCAGTGTGGATTCGCAGGCCGTTCCATCTACCCTTTCGTGTGAGACTTTCCTCTGCAGAGTTGGTGTCAATCCCATTGCTATTCTAGGCAGTTAAATAAGGCAAGGTTTTTCACCATAAGAATACAATTACATGGTTGAAGTATCTGGAACTGGGTGGTAAACCATCGGTAAATAAACTCAGCAAAAAAAGAAACGTCCTCTCACTGTCAACTGCGTTTATTTTCAGCAAACTTAACATGTGTAAATATTTGTATGAAAATAACAAGATTCAACAACTGAGACATAAACTGAACAACTTCCACAAACATGTGACTGACAGAAATGGAATAATGTGTCCCTGAACAAAGGGGGGGTCAAAATCAAAAGTAACAGTCAGTATCTGGTATGGCCACCAGCTGCATTAAGTACTGCAGTGCATCTCCTCCTCATGGATTGCACCAGATTTGCCAGTTCTTGCTGTGAGAGATTACATTTACATTTACGTCATTTAGCAGACGCTCTTATCCAGAGCGACTTACAGTTAGTGAATGCATACATTTTCATACTGGCCCCCCATGGGAAACGAACCCACAACCCTGGCATTGCAAGCGCCATGCTCTACCAACTGAGCTACAGGGGACTACCCCACTCTTCCACCAAGGCACCTGCAAGTTTCTGGACATTTCTGGGGGAATGGCTCTAGCCATCACCCCCCTGATCCAACAAGTCCCAGACGTGCTCAATGGGATTGAGATCCGGGCTCTTCGCTGGCCATGGCAGAACATTGACATTCCTGTCTTGCAGGAAATCACGCACAGAACAAGCAGTATGGCTGGTGGCATTGTCATGCTGGAGGGTCATGTCAGGATGAGCCTGCAGGAAGGGTACCACATGAGGGAGGAGGATGTCTTCCCTGTAACACACAGCGTTGAGATTGCCTGCAATGACAACAAGCTCAGTTGTGACACACCACCCCAGACCATGACCGACCCTCCACCTCCAAATCGATCCCGCTCCAGAGTACAGGCCTCGGTGTAACACACATTCCTTCGACGATAAACGTGAATCCGACCATCACCCCTGGTGAGACAAAACCGTGACTCGTCAGTGAAGAGCACTTTTTGCCAGTCCTGTTTGGTCCATCGACGGTGGGTTTATGCCCATAGGCGACGTTGTTGACGGTGATGTCTGGTGAGGACCTGCCTTACAACAGGCCTACAAGCCCTCAGTCCAGCCTCTCTCAGCCTATTGCAGACAGTCTGAGCACTGATGGAGGGATTGTCCGTTCCTGGTGTAACTCTGGCAGTTGTTGTTGCCATCATGTACCTGTCCCGCAGGTGTGATGTTCGGATGTACCGATCCTGTGCAGGTGTTGTTACACGTGGTCTGCCACTGCGAGGACGATCAGCTGTCCGTCCTGTCTCCCTGTAGCGCTGTCTTAGGCGTCTCACAATACGGACATTGCAATTTATTGCCCTGGCCACATCTGCAGTCCACATGCGTCGTTGCAGCATGCCTAAGGCACGTTCACGCAGATGAGCAGGGACCCTGGGCATCTTTCTTTTGGTCTTTTTCAGAGTCAGTAGAAAGGCCTCTTTAGTGTCCTAAGTTTTCATAACTGTGACCTTAATTGCCTACTGTCTGTAAGCTGTTAGTGTCTTAACGACCGTTCCACAGGTGCATGTTCATTAATTGTTTATGGTTCATTGTACAAGCATGGGAAACAGTGTTTAAACCCTTTACAATGAAGATCTGTGAAGTTATTTGGATTTTTACTAATTATCTTTGAAAGACATGGTCCTGAAAAAGGGACATTTCTTTTTTTGCTGAGTTTACTATTCAACTGGTTACATATTGACATATTTCAAAGACAACCTACCATGTTTATTTGTACAAAGTGGTGTTGCTGACAATGGAATGTTGTCAACAATACCACTTAGAAGACAAAACATTTGATTGATACTTTGATTACTATAATATACTTCATAAGTTAGAAAATATTTGCCCCTTTCAGTAAGGTTGTGACCAGTGGACCACCCTATTTAAAAAAAAATCTTGTAACAATGTGGTTTGACAATTTCTCTCTGTTTAGCTTGTTAGCATGATGTTCTTGTTAGAAAGTGACAACACTGGGGGATTGGAGGGACGCCATGTGCGACTGACGTGTTTTCCGTTTGCTCCCGTGGTATTTTTAAAGTTTATGTGAATTTTGCAGCAAAACCGTATTTATTTTCATATATTATTTTGGTGATCCCTTCCCGTAAAAACCAAGACTACTTTACTTCCAAATATCAGCATGTCGACGAAACATAAGGCCAAAAGCATGACTTTGAGAAAACCCGGCCTACAAGACACACTCTCATCACCGCCCTCCCCTGAGCCTGACGACCCGGGGACTGATACTCTACCCGGGGGGGCGGCTTGGCCTGGCGGCGCTGAAGTGAACATTCTCGAGGCCATCAAACTACTACGCTCTGAGATAGTTGAAATGAAAACGGAGGTGGTTGCTACGATTGAGGCCCGAAAGGAGGTTTCTGATACTTTAAAAGCAGATCTAACCATCCTGCGGAACGAGACGGTGCCGGCAATCGCATCACTCAAAACAACAATGGAGTCGCACACTACAACGATTACAGCACTGGAGACCTTCGCTACAAATGTCTCCGACTTAACTGGAGGCTGACGTGAAACGCCTAGCTGCGGACTTGAAAAAGGTGAAGGAGAGCTGTGTAAGTTTGGAGGGATTCTCTCGCCGCAATAACCTGAGACTTGTATCAGTCCCAGAGTCAGCGGAAATGCCCGCCACTCGGGACCATCCAGGTGTGAAGTACGGACTGCGATTCCCGGCCCGTTTATGGCTATCTCATGATGGTAAAGACTACACATTTGAATCTCCGGATGAGGCTCTCTCTCACATTCAACGTCACATCAAGAAGTCTTGAACTTGCTCATAGTTCAGCAACTGTTGCTAGCGAACTGTGGATAGTAAGTAACCCACCTGTGGTACAACTATGTTTAGCTACAACATGCTAATTTTGTATAGTTGGGGGGTTGGCGTACCCATTCAGGCTTATTTGATGTGATCTAATGTTTTGATCATCTAGTGTGCTTGCCTTACAAGCATTCAGTCATTTTAATCTCATTGTATTGCGGTTTTACTATACTCCTGTGTTTTCTAGGCTGTCTTGCTCACCTATTCAGTTTGTTTACATAGTGTCTCAGTGACTCAAAATATTCTTAGTTATTTGCTTACTGCATCCGTTTGCATTGACCCAGTTTGGGGTCTTCACTTAAATTTTAAGGCTCAGAGCGTCATTTATGCCCAGCAAGCGTTAAACGTTGCGCACACGTAGTTTTTTGGTCTTGGTTGTAAGCTGTCTCAGCATTCAACTAGACAACTTTGATTGTCTTACTTCGATTTCCTTACTTCAAATTAGGTTTTCGGCTGAGAGCCGTTACACATTCTATTTATTTTCTTTATTTTCTCTCTCAAATGCCTGTTATAAGACTGGGAATATAATTATATACATCTACAAGTGGTGCTTTTGTAATTTCGTCTGCACAAGGGATTCACCTTAATTTCTTTTATTTAAAAAATGATTATCTCTTTTTGCTGTTTGATCCACTAACAAAACACGACTTTAAAGAGCGGGACTGTGGGTTTAGGTTTAAGACCGCACTCTCACAGACATACTGTGCGAAGAGAACATGCTCTATTTAGGCTTGTACCTCGTTTGGGGAGGTACTGTCTGGGATGGGGGGAGGGGGTGGGGGGAGGGGTTGAATTGTTCAGTTCTAATGTTGTCATTCTGTCTTTTTTGTTTTTTTTTCGGTACTTTTTCTCAACATCTACCACCGTACATTATTACTCTGAGACAAGTTATTCTGGGGTTTCTGGGCGCTCATTGCTTTTCCATTCTATGCTCTAATGACGGGGTTGTATAACGGGAATGCCCAGAGGGGCCGAAACAATGCGATCAAATACATTTCGTGGAACACCAAAGGGGTTAATAACCCAGTGAAACGTAAGAGGGTGTTGACACACTTAAAGGGTTTGAATGCAAATGTTGCATTTCTACAAGAGACTCACTTGAGGACTGGTGAGCACTTTAGGATGCGTAGGGACTGGGTTGGTCAAGTGTTCCACTCTAACTTTCATAGTAAATCAAGAGGGGCTGCCATTTTGGTTGATAAAGTCACTCCCTTTGTAGCTTCTGAGGTTATCGCTGATCCTAAGGGACGATACGTCATAGTAACCGGTAAACTGTTTTCTACCCCTCTTGTTTTGGCTAGTGTTTATGCTCCCAATTGGGATGACACAAGTTTCATTTCTTCCTTTTTGTCTGCTATACCCAATTTAGACTCTCATTTATTGATTTTAGGGGGGGATTTCAACTGCAAAATGTCCCCAGTTCTTGACAAGTCCTCACGAACAACTACAGGCCCATCTAAATGTGCCCTACTTATTCAAGCCTTTCTTCAGAAATATGCCATGTTTGAGGCCTGGCGTTTCCTACATCCTACAGATAGACAGTATTCCTTTTATTCTCATGTTCATCAAACATACTCCCGGATTGATTACTTCTTTTTGGACAAAAAACTTTTGCCTAACCTTCGGCAGTGTACTTACAAGAGTATTGTTATTTCGGACCATTCACCATTAGTGCTTGAACTAGAGTTTCCCCAGCGACCTCCTATGTGTTATCAATGGCGTCTTAACCCCATTTTACTCTCAGATAAGGAGTTTGTCAATTTCATTTCTTCTGAAATCACCTTATTCCTAGAAACTAATTCAACACCAGGTATGTCCTGCTCTACCATATGGGAGTCTCTCAAAGCATACCTACGTGGCCAAATTATTTCTTATACAGCCAACCAAAACAGAGTTCGCTCTCAGCGACTTCGGGACCTGAGCGAATCCATAGCCACATTGGATGAGAAGTATGCCACGGTTCCTTCCTCTGATCTGCATAAAGAGCGCCAACTACTCCAATCTGAATTTGATGAGCTTTCTACCTGCGAGCTCGGTACAGAGTGTATGAACAAGGCGACAAGGCCAGTAAACTCCTTGCACATCAGATCCGTAAATCTGAGGCCTCACGTTTAATCCCACAA